AATGGTCTAGAAGACTCTCAATAAAAACAAGCACTAGAACTTTATCCCTCCCTAAAGTTGGTACAAATTAGCCGATAGCAGTAGTTTGGTGTTTTTTACTTATGGTTTTTGTTTTTTCTTGACTATATCATGGATTTAAAGTAGTAGAAAGGATTAATTTCTCTAAATCAGGCTTGGTCGGGAACCGGGAGCGATCGGTCTCGACTGCTGACCACGTAAATAATATTTAGTTGCGAAAAGCTGGCCAGATTTTTTAGTCGTTTTGAGCATTTTAAAAAGCAAAAAAAAAAAGCGCTTAAGATTATTTGGACGGATGAGAGACAATTACAAAAAAAATTAGGTAAATTTTTAAACGCGAAATCTTTAAACGCGAAAAAACTTAAAGCCAAATAAATTACGTTTAGGACAAATATTTTCGAAACATCGCTCTTTTATAATTTTTTTTATAAAATTAAGCGATGTTTTTTATATAAAGTAACAACTTACGATTGTTTCAAAAAGGAAGCAAATATTCTTTATTTAACAAAGTTTGCAAATTTTAGTTTTATTTAAGTTCAATTATTTTATAAATAATAAAGTTAATTTTTTCAATACCTATTTTATGCTTCGTGTAGTTTGAAAAGTTTAACATATTTGAAGCAATTCTTTTTAGTGAGATAAATAAATGAAGTATTAGATTAAATCATTGAATTACTATAGAAACTAAATTAACAATAAAGAAATCAACTTAAGGTTAAAAATACTTTATGACGAGGAAGCAAAACTGCTTCACAATATCGCTGGTAATATTTAGTGAGTGGGCTTTTTTTAATTTTAATTAGTATATAAAGCAGAAAAAAGTATAACGAGTTTTAAGAATGGCAACTTAAGCGAAAATAATTAGAGTTAGTAAACCAATATCTAGTAACTTTTCTTTATATCTAATTATTTGCTATATATATTTGTGTTCTGTCATGACCTCAGGCGCGGTGCTTGTTCATCTGCGAGTTACTTTGTACGCGTTGTTTGTGTTCAGTAACCAGAAACTTCTTATATTTGTTACATAATTAGTTTTATTAACTATAATGATTATAACTTCATTGAAAACGCAATTATTTATGTAAGTCTTTGTTTAAATCATAAAATTTGCTTTAAAAGATACATTACAATAAAAAACAGATACACGAAATTACATTTACATAAAAAATACATACTTTTTAAATAAAAAATAAGAATATACTAATAAAATCTATAATTTATAATAAACTTTTAAAATTTTAATAATTTAATACATATTAAAAAATTTTATTTTTGTAAACAAATAACATATATTTATTTTTAAAACAATTTGGTATTGTGGTTTATCCTCCTCCAGCTAATTGCCATATAGAGGCTTTTTTTCATTCTTAAAACAATTTATGCTAGAAATCTCAAAACGTAGCTAAAACATTTTCAAAAACATTTTAACAGAATACTCTAGAACTTTATTTCGCGTATTTAAGTCAGCGTATTTTTTGAACCAATAGAATTAGTTTGTTCGTTAATTTGGCGGGTTTTTAGTGCTCGCGAATATTCTTTTTATTCTTTCGCACAAAGATGTTTTGAGAACATTCAAGTTTATTATGTTTCCATGTATGTCCATAAAACAAAAATTTTTTGTTTCGTACATAAACTTAAATGTTCTCAAAACGACTAAAAAACCTGGCCAGTTTTTCGCAACTAAATATAATTTCCGTGGTCAGTATTCGAGAGCGATCGCTCCCGCTTCCCGACCAAGCCTGCTAAATGAGTGCAAATGTGTTCCAGTTCCATCAAAAACATGAGGTTCAAATGAGCAAGTCTATTTACTTATGGCTTTATTTTTTTTTTTCAAAAAAATAAAGCCATAAGTAAAAAAAGTATTGTTTTACATGGTTCACTAGTTTATTACAGTGGGTTTTTCCCACTCTATGTAAATGCTTTCTTTGAGTTTCAATATAAAGGTGTTAGAGGCCGAATCCAAAATTGATAACCTAGCATAATTAAAACTATTAAAATAGCTTTCGCTTGAATGAATATGTTTTATAAATGGGCAAATTTTTATCCCTTTTATAGTGCTCAACTATTCGTGTCTTTAAATGACAAAACTACTTGACATGACACTTACATGATGTTTTTCT